ACCCTGTATTGTACAAAGTAGAAAACGGATGTATGAATAATTTGCTTCAGCTAAAAGTAAAACTACTTATCAGCCCTCAAGGAGATCTGACCCACAATTACACAGCTTGACTTCTCTAGGAGGGCCAAATGCAAGTAAAAGCACTTCTACTGTGCCCGTGAAACGTCTGGACTTAGGCTCCACCGGGCTACAAACACAAACACAAGAAAAGCACTTAGCAGCCGAAGCCCTTTTCTTTAATGTGTGCCAAATTCATTCACTTTTTCACCTTGGTTAACTGGAAAGAAGGAAGAACAGGTTTCCAGGAATTCATTGGGGATTCTCCAGGTTTATAAACGGGTTAACAAACTTGGATTGCCTTGTACTACACCTCAAAATGTCCCATTGCTGTGGGCTGGCCAGAGTCCTGGCTGCATTTGTTGACACTGTCATATTGGTCCGCGCTATCAGCGGGAATCGTCTCCTCAAACAACGTGGGCTCCAGTCAGTCTTGCCCGGCCCTGGGCGACACTTGGGCGCCGCAGCGCTTGGCTGCAGAACAGGGCAATGACCTTCTTTGAGTATGACGCCTTGGCACCTACCCAGAGAGCCCCACTGCACTGGTCAGGCAACTCCAAACTGTTCAGTTAAATAACTAGAAATTGTTTCACACCAAAATCATTTGTTTCACAAGGGAAACCTTTTGAACTTTTTAAGGATTCCTTTTATGTCAAGTCAATTACCAATGTGGGAATTATAATGGAACCTTGTTGCTTTTCACACATGCTGTAGCCTACTCATTTCCAAACCATTTTCTACACTCACCAGTATGTAATCCAAACATTTGTGACTTAAAATGTGTTTTACGGCTATGGTCATTTGTCCATAACTCCCCAAAGCAAGATGGAGTGTCACTCTATTACCACAAGATTCAGTTATTTTAGTTGAGAAAAATATGAGCCTCAGCTCTCAATACCCATGTACTGGATTAAGTATTTGAAACTCTGGCAGTTTTTTTCCAGCCAAGCACAATGTTTTCAACAAAGCATGTAACACGCTCACAGAAAGCTGTGCCAAACAGAAAGTTTTTATTCTCATAAGTTACAATAATGCCCATAGCAGTCAAAAAGCCTTGGATAAATAAATTAACTCCCAGAGTGCAGGTTCAATATATATGTTGATATCGTCCTTGAGTCCATCAGCTCAGCAGGAGCAATGTTCAGCAGAAGAACAGAACAGAAGATGTTCAGCAGTACAAATTGCTTTAACAACATAGAAGAGTTAGTTATAATTTTCAAGAATCATGGCTCAGTTTGGCAAACTGATTTAAAGAGGAAAGTAGAATTAAAACTGTTTTTAGTCCCATAATTAAACTGAACATACTGAGCCCCTACAAGGTGAACAGTGACATTCTTCATTTAAATCATTTTACTCATTATATTCTGGCTTCTCCCCAAAAGCCTTCCTCCATCACTGACACTATTTGCATTTTATTGACCATCTCATTATGAAGTCAGAGGACACTTTAATCAAGTCAAGGGTCAAGTCTAGCAAACGGGCACCTTAAGTAAGCAAAAGCTCATATGGACAAAACACCAAAGAGACTGCGTCACTCAAAGACCACAGATGCAGAAGCTTGGTCTGAGTTTACCTCAGTGGGCCATAACTATTTCTTGCTAAGGGGACACCTATCCTTCAGAATTTCTTCTCTGAGAAATTATTTGCCTCAAATACAAAACTCTTTGGCTGCTCCTCTTTCAAAAGATGCTCAAGATGGGTACAAGTCCTACAGCAGGGTCCTGTATGTTGTCAATTGACATTTTACGCCACTGGTTTAACTCAATGTTTTTGAGAACCACAGGATTGTCTCCTTCTGACAGTGAAGTCAAACAGTTGGATCAAATGGGTTTTGGCATTTCCAATGTACCGTACACAGGTTTAATTTTTTTAAGCCATAGCAGGATATTCTTCTTTGATCACGACACTCTGCATCTTTAAAGCAAAAAATGCAGACCACACACAGCTGCCCGGGCACGAGTGACTTATCAGTTCCAGGGGGACTCTGCTCATGCAGTGTAAGCTGGAATCTGATAGAGACACGTAATGATGTCATAGTGGTGGTAGGAAGGGGATCAAAGATCACTCACTTCAAACACAGGAGGGAGAACAGAGACGCCTGGCTGTGGCAGAGGCGGCACATTGACTGGCCAAGAGTGGGGAGGGGAAAAAGCACAGCAGACCGGGAGGCGACAGCCGAGGGAGAAGGAGTTCAAGGTAGGATGGTCGGGCCGGAGGACGAAGAAGAGAGCTGAGAACGAATGAAGATTGAAATAGGTTGAACTTTGTCAATGCTTAGAAATCTGGAGTGAAAAGACTGAAAATGTACTGAAACCCATAGTTCCAAACGCGACAGCCATCAACATTACATTGGCTCATTTTGGGGTTTAATCTGAACTCCGCACACTGAATCTCTACCACAACCAGAAGTATAAAAAAAAAATCGAATGAACTTGGGCAATAGCATTGAATAATTTTAGATTTAGCTGAATATCTTACTTCATTGAAAAAATGCTGTTTGGTAAATTATACTTGCTTGACTATGATGTCTCTGCTAGGTTTAAGATATTAAAGGACGCACATTTATCCAAGTAAACTGCAAGTAAGATGTTCTAGTGAAGAAACACATTGAAGGTACAAGGTAGTAATAAACGTGTCAGCATTGCTATAACTGTGATATAGAGATGCTTCAAACTGAATGTAGTTAAAACATGAATGGGAATTGAACAATAAAACAAACCACCATGTTTTACTACAATACAAACCCAGTAAAGTGTAACATTTTACAATAACTATGTTTTCCTTATGAGAGGGGCTTAAGGCAGGATAATTTTAACATTTTGAAAATATGGCTACAAGAGACTTAACCAGTACATTAGTTTTAGAAATACCACAGATTTGTTAAACTACCCATATACTGCAGCAAAAAAGTGAGAAGAAAACCTTTAAACTCCAGTTCCAAGCAGCTACTAAAACATTAAAGCCGAGTTGGAAAAAAAAATACTTTAAGCCTGAAATCTTTGGTTATGTTTTCCTTTTCCTTTAATTTTGGAATTGTAAAATTACTTTCTTCGAAATCACACACAGGTAAATTTGATTTTCATTGGTGTAATGGTTTCTAAGGTTCCTGTAAACATTAGGCACCGTTCATAAATTCTAAAAAAGTAACATAAAAAGTATCCAACGGTTAGTGTTAGGTTTTTCTCATGACAGATGCAAATTATAATAATAATTAACCAGATGGGGTTTTTATTAAGTCCCCAAATGCTTATATACCTGGGTCGGGGTTATAAAAATACTTTGTATCTGGGGTGAAGCATGTTGGTGTGACATGTCATCTGAAATTGAAGTGATCCTAAAGCCATGTCCTTATGTCCCCACGTTCCCAAGTATTTTGTCTTGGAATTCCCAGTGAAGAGCAAGGGTTAGCATCTACTGATCCCCTGACATCATTTCATATAAAATGAAAGGCTAAGACTCCGAGATCTCAAGTTTCAAATCTTAGGGTGGCATTTAATAAATGACAAAACATGCCTGTTTTTAGACTTAAAAACCCTGGGCCTGGACAATTGCGAAACACTTGGTAAACTCAAACAGAATTGTGTGGACACCAGCTTTACGGACCCTACCCCAAAGACGGAGACAGTCTTATCTTGTTAGAAAAAAAGTTCCTGACCCTTTAGATTGGTCTGTTAATGTAAGCCAAACCCCAAAGTGACATTCCTGGTCACCTTCTGCTTCACTCGGGGCACATAATAAACCTCTATTGCCATTATTACTGTCAAGCGCGAGTCCAAATGACACTACTAATGAAAAAGACAGTTGAATGTTTTACTGCATCACATTCAGCAGAACATTACTAAACTAAAATAGTCCCCACACAGGGACACAACTGTACTGTACTGCTGTGTGATTAATATTCAATAACTTACCAGAAAAACAGCAGTTCTGTGAAATGGAAAATGAATACAACTCTCAGCTGGGAATTTTCAGGAGTTATCAGATGGCTGGCTTACTTTAGAAACAAATCAATACTTTGATTTATAATTAATATTAACTAAATTTAACCTTACCTTGATTTTTAATTAACTAAATTCAACCTTAATAATGAACATCCTTCATTATTTTTAATATTGTACCACTATTCGTTACCTATGAAAACGATCCGCCTGACATAAGCAGACTATTTTTTAAATTGATCAAAACCTAAACGTGGTAACATTCTAATAAATCGGTGATTGAAAGTGACCTACAGCACTCGGGGACCTAAACTGACACCAGCAATGAAATAAGTATCTTGTTATAAAGCATAAACAGAGTGATCAGTAGATTATATTTAACCTGTAAAGTAAAAAATATGTATGTTTGAGACCACAAATTACTGGCTTCTTGGGGTAATAACATACAATATGACTTTCAACCACTTAAGTTTTAATTGCAAGGAATATAGTCTAAAATTCTCCCACCCAAAAAAGTAATGAAGGCCGCGCCACTCACCTTCTAGGAACAGAACTAGAAAAAAAAAAACAATTAGGATTAATAAAATATACCTTTGTGGTCTAATGTCTTCCTTGCGAAACATCTTGTTGTAACACAGGGTACTACCTCAAAGCAAATCTGGAAAAAGAAGGCAACAGTTTTCCAATAGGACTCAGATCATTGTGCGACACTATTTTACTTCCAACAATGTTTGAAATGGGAAGAGCAAAAAAAAGGGGGGGGGGGTGGTCTTTTAACCAAATATATCTTATAAGCCATTTTTAAAGAAAAATAACAAGCATCACTCTCAAACAAAATTTAACTTACAGTTAGCCAGGTCCAGGACACACAAGATACAAAAAGAATAAATGTAAGAAACAATCCAATGGCATTCTAAAATCACCGCAAACTTCCATTAGTTCCAGTGAGCTTTGAAACCCGAGGAGGGGAAAAAAAAACAAAAGGCACAAATAAGATCCCACAAGGAAATTTCGCAGTTATTTATTTTGCAATGTTATAAAAGACAACAATGTGATTGGCTCCTAGCTACCTAGAGACACACAGCCACTGGGTCTTGCCCATGGGTCTGGGGCCCTACCATTGGTAGTTATTTCTGTTTTGCTACTTCAGGAAAAAAAAGGAAGGTGTGACCCATTGGCTATTTCGTGTTGAGCAAGACTCTTAGCCTTTGCTATGAATTAATTCCATGCTTACACTACTGAAGGAAAAAAAAAAGTCTTAGGCTGTATCTTATCTCCCCATCTTTCCCTTCCCTCTCACCCACCCTATTCCCACCCAGAATAAAGAAAAAAACAATGTACAAAATAATTAATAACCAACAACCGACGTCTTTCCACCATTTTTCTTCTTGGTCATCCTACACAGTAAGAACAGTTCCAGCCATGGGCTCAGGAGAAAAGAAGGGTGAAAGGCTATTGGCTGTCCTCCTTAGTTTCACACAAACGAAGCAGCGCGAGGTCCGCCTCCGCATCCGGGGCCTTGCTCGGCTTTATTTTGTCCCGTCTCAATGCGATCAGTCCTTTCCTTCTGTGGAGTTGCTACAGTTGCTGTATATTTACAAGAGCAGTTAGTGAATCACCCCCCGCCGCCGAGAGGTGAACGCAGCAGCCAACACACTGCAATCTGTGACCAGGAGTAGTGCTGTTGCCTTGAAATCCAGATAGGTGGGGTTTCTCATCCACGTTTCTCTCGCCATCAAAAGCACGACCCACCTAAGTGCTTCAAACAGTTCCTGAACCAATAACTTAACACAGTGTCCACTGGGTGTGCCATTCATACCACCAATTATGAGTCAGATAAGGGGTATTCAGCATGGCATGGTGACCCTTCCAATCCACTCCGTTATACTAATCCTTACATTAAATACCAACTCAACAATTAAGCAGGGAGTATATTGGAAAGGACACAGAGTGAGCATGTCTTATTTTGACTGTCCCAGTTTTATCTAAAGAGTTTGACGGATTTACAAGTTTAGTCTCCGAACACAATCTACTTATTAATGTGAGGTTTCCTTATTCTTTCTTGACCCTAACAACGGTACCCCCGGGCATGGCATTCAAAAAATAAACCATTTTTACAAACAAAAAAATCTCAAGGCCATTATTTGCTGTACATTGCATTTGGACAGTTAATCACTGTTGGGAATCCATTCACCAGAGTTCAGGGAAACTTCACCATCAGGTCTGCTCTTTCTAAAGAACAGTTTGCTTTTGCATGGGGTGGGGGTACAGGCATTTTTACCATCCAAGGTTAAATTGTATAATTTTTTTTCCCCAATCCCATTGAAGAGCCACTTCAATTGTTTTTTTTCTTAGTTCAAGCAATCAAGTGATCATTATTTTTACCATCTAGATCTCCATTACAATAAGAAAAATACCAAAGCACATTATACAATATGTACCAGAAATGGCTGCAGTTCTTGATATGAAGATATGAAGACGATCCATGTTGTATGTTCAATGAACAGCAATACAAACTACAAACTAAATACGAATAGTGTGGCGATTCCTAGATTTGTTTCCTAAATCTGGATTACGTTTGGAATATTAGTGGAATAAGCAATTTAAACAAAGAACAACAGGACATCAACTTTCTTCTGTTCTCTGTGCAAAAATCCTAATCTCTCCAGCATCCTATCCTGTGGACAATTTTTATTCATATATCCGTAAAGCAATATTCCAAGATCCTGAAACGGAATAGCTTAATAGAGATTCTTAGATCATTAAGCTACAACCAACTGCATGAGAAACAGGGTCCTAATGGCCTCAGTTACTGTGGTACTTTTTCTCAAGATCTTAAAAGGGTAAAAGATATGGGCTGTTTAACTTAAGGAAGTTAAGTTAACAGTGGCTTTTTTAAATGTAATAACACATCTTTCCCCCCCCCCCACTTTAACACAGTTATCAGAGCAAACATCATGATATTCACAACAAATCCAGCAATAAACTCACTTCAGGAAAAAGTTTTAGCAACTTCAGCTTATTACCCAACTAAGTTACACAAACTTGGAAATCTAAATGGCAGGCAAAGGTCTTATCACTGTCAAATAAGTCACTTTCAATAATAACCAAAAAACAATACTATAAAATAAGATTAAACAATTATATGGGCGGGACTCTAAAATAACGTACATTAATCTTATAAGCATGTTCTATTCTTTTTTCTTATCTATCCCACCATATACAAATTAATCATTACAAAAAAGTTTTATATAAATATTAGATCACAGCTAGTATAAATATAATAACTGCAAGCTATTACTACATAGAACCATAAGTGCTTATAATAATCACAGTAAACACGTGCTTACATTTTTTTTAAAACTGAAATGCAAAAGTTTTTATTACGTTCTAGGTTGAGTTATGAATTTGATGTTCAGTAGAACAGCCACCTAGAACCTCCACAGGTCTTAGTTACTTTAACTACACATGAGTAAAGTTCAAATTAGGCTGCGCTTAGGTTCTGCATAATTTTCACCTGGGCTCCTACCAATATGAAGGTCTTTAATAAAACACTGCTGGATTAAAGGTGCCTTGCAGATTTCCTGGCACAAGCTGTGACATGACAGAACACTTGCATAAGGTCAAAGTCACATAAACCACCTTGGCCACCTGCAAGAATTTATTCTAGCAGATATGAAGCAGCACAAATGGCAAAAAGCAAATCTATCCTAGAACTTACTGAAATGGAATTAACTCACTGGGCTTCAGAAAAAAACACTGCTAGCTTGAAATCTTTCTACAAAGTAAACGCAGCAGCCGAAATAGAATTCTTTGACATTTTAAGGTCATTGTATAAAAGTTTAGCTGCACAGAATTCTACCACATTAGAGTGGAAATGCAAATGGTTCTGAAGACAATGTAACAAATTATACTTTACCCTGAAAAAAATAGAAAAGATCTTACACTCCAAAACAGAGTCATTTTAAAGCTGACCTGACTAACCACTTTCCAACTACAAGGACATTCATACTGTGTTGAATGCAATAGTGAAAACAAACTAAAAATCTTATTCAGTTACATCTTTCAAAAGAGATATTCAGATTAGGAATCAGGATTCAATAGTGAAGGTATGACACCTTATGTCTGCTTTATCTTCACTTGGTGTCAAATTATTAAACATATTTCCTCATGGAATTGGAAGACAGTTGAAGACTGTCCTTTGAAAAGGCGCATTATGAAAAACATTAACATTACCTGGTTCCTGCAGCTGCCCCTCAAATCAAGCAAAAGCTGCATCAGACTTATTAGATTTAACCACCAGTTCTTGCTTTTCATCACAAATCAGCTTAGTTTTAGAACATTTTTGTGTCTACTGTGGAAGATTACAACACCAGGTTTCATACAATAAGATCCAAGCTTTTAAATGTTTGCAATTCAAGTTTCAACAGAAACAGTCAATACATGTAACATAACAATGAACTGTCCTTGATAGTACTGTATAAAAATGGAAGATTATGCTACTGCTTCATCATCTTCCTTATGATGAAACATCAGATTTGAAAAAAAATCTAAGAACGCTTCCAGTACATTTTAAATTCGACCAGTGCTTTTCTAAGGCAATGGAGTTTAATAATAAGCAATACAAATCTCAAATCCTGTATAAATCTTGTATATAGGTTTGTGCTTTCTCCACACCCAGCTTCTTTTTCATATTTGTGAAAATGCAGCAGGAGAAACTCAAAGCGTAAGACCCTTCCAGCTACCTGAAGACCTGAGGGCCCACGTTTTCTGGTGAACACATTCATGATCGTCTCCTGAACTGGACTTCCTTACTACCCACAGATTCTCAGATATCTCAGACATAAGGTCTTTGCTGAATATGGGGCACGTACACCCCACAAAGAAATCCCTAATGTTTTCTGAAAATCACAAAAAAAAAAATGGGTAGGTAGGAATGACGTACATGGGCTCTAAATGATCAAGCAATTTAAAAAGGGGCACCTTGTGTAACACAGATCTTTGTTGTATGTTAACACAAAGGGTTTCTGGCCTTTACAACAAGACACAACAACAAATAAAGGAATATAACTTAGACCAAAAAATGGGCTGGTATAACACATTCCCCACTTTCACTTTTGTTCCACGCTTATTTACTATTGTCAATATTACAGACAAATCTCTCCCCGAAAACCCCAATGCTTAAGTGATTGGGCACAGTGAACCAGTTTTTTTGTAGACATTCTAGCAGAGAGCATATACAACCCATGGGGTACTGCTGTCATGTTTTTCCCCTGAAACAAATAATTTAAGATAAAAATTAAAATCAAACAACGTTAAAAACAAGTTCTAACAGTAACAATACTAAAAGAAAACAGGAGGCCAGGCAAAAATGTAGACACAGCATTGGCAAATGCAGACCGTGAGGGGGAAGATAATGAAATAAATAAAAATAAACCTAAATGGACTATTTCTTGGCCAACAGCACCACCCAATGTACAAAAAAGATTACTACAGTACTTCATCTTGCTTGTTTGCATTTCCTCTAGGTTCTTTTTTTTTTTTTAATAAAATGATGAGGTTCCCGGTGCAGGGAGATGCAACTGGCTGCTGGCTCTCTTCCTGGAAAGAAAAGGTCACGTGGGGCCACATGTGCAGTCATGGTTCTTCCTCTGCTGCTCTTGTTGGGCACTCCTGGTTACTGCCCTGACGCCTCCCCCACCACCTCGATGCCGTGTTGCTGCAGCTGGGCGCGAAGCAGAGCGTTCTCGTTCTTCAGCTCTTCGATCTGAAAATCAGACGAGTTCCACAGGGTTAGCTCCACTGACAGGGGAGTAAATACAAGTATTTTGATTTGATGTACTATTTTCTCACAAAAACAAGTGATATCAATGAAACTAGATAATGAAAAACCATATGAAAACTAAGTTTAAAATCTTAGATGACCTCTCATTTACTGAGGCTTATTAATCCCCTCAATTGAACTGCATGTTTAAGCATTTGCTGACTATTTTCTGCATTCAACTTCTCAAAAAACACCTTGCTGTAGTTGCTGCCAAGTAATTTGGCAAACAAATCTGTTTAGCTTGTCAACTCATTTAACTATTTTTGCCCTACAGATCACAGAGCATCACTTAAAAGGCAAGGAATTATTGATGTACAGACGCAGGAGAGAACAACATCAAACACTCCCAGAAAAAGGATTCTGTGCTCTACAGGACCCCAAATTAATTACTTTCAAGATACCTAAACCAGGGGAGTTCTAATAGAATGGAGAGAAAAGTTTAATCAAACAAGTACTTTCATGGTTCTAAGAAATTCAGAGCTTAAATGGAAATAAAATAGGACAACTGACTTATTCCAGGACCAGGGCTGACTTCTGCTGAGACTTAGTAGTTGTGGTGGTGGTGCAACACTCTTTTGTTTCAATGAGAGACAGTGGCTTAACATGGCAAAAGAGGGAGAACCATAGCTGGGTGAAAACCAGAAAGAGCAGGTTAAGCTGCACATTTCCCACACAGAAAGCGACACCTTACCTGCTGTCGTAGTAGCTCGTTATCCACCTGCACTCTCTCCACCTCCTTGAAGCTCTCCTGCAGACGTTGGTTGTTCTGTCGCAGTTCACGAATGTAGTCACAGGCCTTTGACAGGATCCCACCTTTACTCTGAAGCAAAAAGAATATGGTGGAAAAACAAAGCCATTTGGCCCAGTCCTACATGTTAGCTCAGTAACAGATTATGGATTCCCAGAACTTCATCTAATTTTTATCCTGAAGCTGTCATATTGACAGGAATTTGAATACTTTAGACATGTCCACTCATTCTGCTTATTTACACTACAATGAATGAGTGTTCCTGAAGGTTAGGAAGCCCGTTAATGCTAAATCTGGAATAGGACTATTCGTCACTATTTGAAAGAATAGCCTTGCTCTTGATATAGGGTACTTAAGAACATGTCTGCATGTTACCTACCCCATTGAAATAACCATATAATGGAACCTGTGAAGCAGTGTTCCAGTAGTGGATCCAATATTTGGACCCACTTAGTAATGGTATAATGGGAAACATCAAAACAATGGGACAACAGAATGCACTAACATTACTGTTTCCATAAAATTGCAAATACTAAAAATGCACACGCCCTCTGGTGGACACTGGTGACGTTAGCATCCTGTGGTGTCAACTACCTGTGTGTGAAAACGTGTTTGCCCATGTCGCTGTTTACAGATTACCCCAACCTTACACAAACATAAAATGTAAGTCCTTGAAACAACAACAACAACAACAACAACAACGCTAGATAAGAAACTACAATGAGGTTCACATCCTGAAAAAATTCAGGAATTCCATCTCTGTCCATTTAATTAATAACAGCACCTCATGCAGTGAAGCAGTAGGCCTGAGGGAATGTCAGTTTGATGAAACAGGAGCTCACTTAAAGAAAAAAAACCCAATTAGAAACAACCATCATCTGGTCTGTCAGAAAGACATCTTTTCATTTCCATGACCTGAAATTGACTGTCATGACTATGGCACGTTAATCTCAAGAGGTGAGGTAATACATTTTAAGTTGTAAGATGCCATTTTGTTAGAATTTTCAATTTGTTTAGTAGGGTTGTCAGTTTACCATTTCAATTAATTGTACCATGCCTTACTACATTGTTACACTCTTCTTTTTTTTTGTACTTGTCTCTGTGCCATTTCCAGTGCAAGGTTCCTAATATTTGAACCTGTGATTGTTATACACTACAATAATTAGACTTGAAGAAGGTCCTTTAAAAAAGAACTTTAATTTTTACAGAAAGAATTTTCGCTGTGTTGCCGAGTACATTAAAAAAACCACATCCTTCAATCAAACACACAAAAAATAAAGATTTAGCTCAATTCAATTATACTGAATTGAAGTTACCTTGCATAAAGAAAATCAACAAAATATTTATATATAACAAGTATCACAAGTTCACCTTTTGGACGTTTGGGGGGAAAAAAGTTTGCTAGAATACACCTCACTCCAAATCTTTCGCCGTCACGTCTCCTTTCTATCCTTACTTTCTCTCTACTGTGTATTGCAGGAGGCGTTTTTGTCATCTCACACATGGCGTCTTGCCCTTTCCTGTGCATCACATCCTACAGACTAATTCTGGCAACATGGTGCAGTATATGCACAGGTCTACACAGTTTACCTGCCTGGAAAATATATTCTATGAGTACAAATACCTTGCTGGCATATCTGGATCATTATAAAATGTACAAAATGTTTTAGTAGATATTGGTTATTTTCCCCACACTTATAAATGACAGAAGGAATAAGAGAAAATAAGGAAAAGGTCTGTGCTTGTGAAAATAGATTATAATTGGAAAAAGTCTTACAGCTCCTGTCTTGCTGTTGTCAGTGTTGCAGTCTGGAATGATCTTGGACAACGTCACGATCCAGTTGTTAATCTTGTCTCTTCGCCGCCTCTCCACTGTAGGGAGAAACAGGACCCGGCCAGAATCAGCAAGAGGGTCTAATCCAACCCATCTCCCGTCAACAACCAGCATGGAGCTTTGAGCGCAGCGTTCCCTCACTGGACACGATGGAAGCCTTTGTAAAACTATAGGCAAATCATTAAGATTCTGCTAAATGTCACCACTGAAAATGAAGATGGCGAAAGTTCTGAAGGTAATGATGAACTTGGTGTGGACCAACTGAAGAAGTACACTATCTGGAACTTGCTTATGTGCTTTTTTCACCAATCCAAAGAGAAGTTTGTCCAAAGGACAAATTCTCCTTACCTGTGGCACCAACTGAATATGTTGATATCGTTCACACACTACTCAAGTATCAAGTGACTGATAAATTCCTTTGAACTGTACATCCTTGAAACTTGATCTCGAATAAAACCCAAATTGTGAAGTTAAAACGAGAGACGGCTGAAGGTCCTTAGTCCAACAAACATACAGTGACAGTAACAAAGATACAGTATTGAGCACAGTGGGAAAAGACAATCTGCTAACAATTTTCCAGCAGAGAAACATCAAGTATGTACAAATTAGAACAATTAGCATGTTGCTGTAGTTCTTTGACAAAGGGAATGAAAGACTGTTTAATATGAGTACTGAAGGGACACTTAATAACCACGCTCTCTGACCAGCTCTTTATCTTTTCTATATAGTGGCCTTTATAACTCTGTCCTTTGACAGTGATTCAAAGACTACTATACTAGAAAAACACCAAAGCCAAAATCATCATTACAGCTGGTTCACACATCCCCCCCAATACTCAAGCGACTAATCTCTTCCATCCATCCATCTCCTAACCTCAATACAAGGTCTCGGGGAGCCAGAGCCAGTCTCGGCAAGCAACGGGCGCAAGGCAGGATACACCCTGGATGGGACGCCAGTCCATCGCAAGGCAAGCAGACACAAACATGCACTCACACCCAGAAGCCCAATAACCCAACAGGACGTCTTTGGACTGTAGGAGGAAATCCACACGACCACAGAGAGCTCCATGCACTGCAAGGCAACAATGCTATCCACTACATCCACAGCGCTGCGTTAGCATACAGTTTCCATGAAAAAATAAAACCGCAAAAGCTTCAGGGCAGGAGACAGTAAACACGCAGTGAAGGCATGCCTTACCTTCATTGTGCTGCGCTCGCCTCCTCTCGTCTCTCGGCGTTCTTGGCCCATCCATCTTCCTGCATTGAGAAAAACAATCTTGAGCTGGAGACTCACTTGGATACGTGTACAGATACAGATGACCTTTTTTTAAGGGCCGTTTCACAGTCATCATGTGAACAAAGCACAGTGATCTGAAACAACTCACGAATGGACACGAATGCTACTTTAAACGGACCTTCAAGTAATCCACCCTTTGAACTTGTATTAAAGTGACAAAAGTCAATTGACATGAAAGAAACCAGCAACAAAACCATCACACCACCATTTTGTATATTTAATAATAATTTAATTATTCCTTACACTTATATAGCACTTTCCTGGACACTCCCCTTAAAGAGCCTGACACACTTCCCTCCACCACCATCAATGTGCAGCCCCATCTGGATGATGCAATGGCAGCCATAGTGTGCCAGAACGCTCACCACACACACACAACAGCTATCAGTGGGGAGAACAACGTGATGAAGCCAATTCATAGATGGGGATTATTAGGAAGCCATAATTAGTAAAGGCCAGAGGGAAATTTGGCCAGGACACTAGGTTTAATACTACTTCCGTTTTTAAGAAACATCCTTGGTTTTTAATGACTATGAAGAGTTGGGACCTGTTTTATGTCTCATCTTAAGAAGGGCACCTACTGTAGATGTTTAATAACATGTTTAATAACTGCCCTTTTATCTCCCTACCACTTACTGATAAGTAGAAAAAATTTTGTTATTAAAATTTAGAATCACTGGTTCTTAATTTTACTATATACCCTCACATTTTGGGATTTGTAACTTTACATCTTGGCTCACATCCCGATGATCCCTGGACCTACACTGGGAGAATGAGGAAGTGCCGAGAAGATCCTACAACACACCCTTTCAATCTTTCATCATATGGCGGGCTCTGCAGCACTGTATAACAAGTTCAGATTGTAGGAGGAAAGAGTTTCTCGTGGAGATCGCTGTAAGCATGGATAAATGGTGGGAGCATAGTTTCACTGGAAGCTAAGACAGCCTCAACTAACTAATCCCTAATCCTTAACATGCCATCATTGAGGTAACAGCACCTCCAGCTGGAGTACCTGCAGATGCCTCCAGTTGGAGAACCCTGGTTCTACAATCACAGAGTGAAAAAACTCAATCTAGAAAGAGTGATGTTTGGATCAAAGCAAGTGTGCTCCATCCGTTTCTTTAACCAAATAGGGAATTATAAAAATCTGTGAACACGAGAAACAGTTCATCTGTATTCATGTGAGGGTAAGGAAAAGGCTGATCAGGGTTGTAGTTTATGAGCATTTGAGAAGACGTTATCCAGATTAACTTCTGTTTTCACATAAATGTGTAAGCCAGACTGAAACTAAAGCTAAAGTTTTTAACAGGTTATTTTCCATGTCAAGTGATATCTGAAGGTTTTAATACGTGTTCAAAGGGAGGAAAATTTGGAAGTTTAACGCAGCATAGGCCTCCCAGCACGAGCTGTCACTGGCAGTGCACACTGAAAACACCTTGCAATCTTATCAAAAAGACAAGAAAACCACAGGTTATATAAAAAAGCACTCCGCTTTGTAAAGAATGAGGGTAAGCAGCCCGACATGGCTCTGCCTTTAAGCGGGTGATCGTCAATGACATTTCAAAACAGAACTCGGCAAAAAATAATGTGCAGACACCAAGTACAAAGCAAAAAAGCAAAATCCACATTTACACATAGAAAAACTAGTCCAACTTATGGCTTCAGGATTTTGCGTTTAATACTTATGGGCATCTGAAATTGGGTTGAATACCAAGTATGTTCTTATATGATAAAATGAATTAATGGAATGATGTAAATCAAAAATATTTCATTAAGTAGACCCAATACTTTTGGACATAATGGTATATCTCTATGCACTTGTATATTTTGTTATTCACTTTATGAAGGATTATGGTGTTTCCTTCTGAAAACTCAAAACCAGCAGGACTCATTGAAAACCAGATGCTGCAAGCTGAAAAAGACCGTCTCCTTAGTTACTTGGCTTCTCAAAAATAAGAGAAAACGTCAATACAATATTTGTGGTCCCCATGAGATCTAAACTAAAAAAAAAAGTTTATGAACGTTTGCCATAGGCAGAATTTTATAACACCCCCTTCCCTTAGAACAGTTAACAGACAATATCCACCATACAAACTCCATGGTTGGACACAGATACTACACTTAGCCATGTTGGCAGTTTTCCTCATTTTCCAAAGGAAGCAGAACAATCAAATTAAAGCCAAGTATTTTGAGTTCTATAAAGCAATGATTTCCAATGGTGGGTCCCAGCAAAACTCCTACTCAGCTATGAAATACAGCCATGAACAATGCTGACATTTTCTGAAATGCATTTAAAAACAGTTTACCCTTTACTTTTAATGTACCCTTAAGATTAATATTACTTGGACAGCAATACAATAAAGCTTCATTTGGCATGATTTTAGTTTTAAAAAGCCGACATCATTATGCACTAAGTGTGTAAGTGAAGCGTGAGCTCTACTTTAGTGGGAGGCTTATAAAAGACATACAAGTATTTTGATTTGATGTATTATTTTCTCACAAAAACAAGTGATATCAATGAAACTAGATAATGAAAAACCATATGAAAACTAAGTTTAAAATCTGCAGATTCAACAAGACCAGTCTGTGGTATTTATATTATACGGATATATTTGACAGACCTATAAACTGTTTATGAACTTCATTGCAGAACACAGTGCAGTTACAGGACAGAAGGAGGAAATAAGAACACCGGGGCTTCTAAATTTAACACTTAAAAGCCAGCTTCTAAAGAAGAACACTGCACTTGGATCGCTTGTATAAAAAATATGGCTAACAAAAAAAACAGCAAGGTCCAAAAATGTTAAAAAGAAAAATACATTTTAAGGTATGTACAACTATACAGCAAAAATGCCCCAATCTACAGCAGTTACAAGGAAACATTTGCATTAGAATATTTAAAACATTTGAGGGCCTCCACCTGGCTTTTCAGCAATAGGCAAGATATATCAAGGTCTTTTTCGCCTTTAAAGAAAAGACATGTCACAAAAACCTTCAGGTTCGTGAATCCAACATTATCTTTTGTCCAGAAAAACAAACTGCAGTTGTTCACAAAGTCCTTGATATATCCAGCCCAATGCAGTTTAATCAAAGGGTGAAACTGGGCTACTACAACATTACTTCAAGTGACCGGGGACACTGAATCCTCCACTCATTTCTAGAAACACATAGTTGGGTTTTTGTATGGATTTGAAAGTTTTTCTCACCAGGATAAATTGTCATGATGCAGCATCTCGTTTTCAGCAGTGTCTCTGGGGATGGCAGGTAAACATTACAGATTCCAAAGCAATTGTTAAACAGGAAATATCACCGTTGAGGCCTAGACAATCAGAAATCCCTGTGTGCCAGAACAGTGCCAAATACCTGAAGGGCTACCATTCGCAAAGCCTTTGCCTCTGCATCAAGAAGATCCTTCTTTACTTGCAAGTGAAGTCAACAAAGGAGAAGCCTCCTTCAATATCATTCTAGACAACTTCAGAACTATTATTGGCGAGTTAAGCTATAGACATCATATAGCAGGTGACTTATTAAACAGCGAATACAGAGGTTTTGACAGAGTTCCCACAAAGCTTCAGATTTCTTCCCCCACAGTTCAAATCTTTGAAAGATTTTAAACCTTTGAAGTCACCCATGTTTGTTATCAAGGGCTGTGAGCTTGTTGCTCACTGCTCCAGGAGAAACTTTAATTTAAATGCTTGCAGCCCATCATATGCTTGAAGAAAATCAAACTGACTTCACTCAGATGTAATAACTAAACATTTTAAGATGCTTAAATCATTCCATGCTACTAAAGGTAGGGAGAAATTCAGGTATTTGGGATGTCCTTCTTTGGCTGTTCACATTAGTATGTGATTGGAAGAGCGCTCTTGACAAACTGCCCAGTTCTCTAAATTACTGCCTTGTTACCAAAAGATTCTGGATTTCAACCAAATGACCACAGTATCTTCCCTTGGATCAAAACCTGTGAAATATATGCAAGGATAAAATGAAATAGCATCTGCATTTCTATGCATACATAGTATATACTTCCTTTTGGAAACAAGACATCGAATATAGAGTAAAGAATTAGTGTTACAATTTATAGAACAATACAGGATCTTGTGTTTAGTAAAGCACTTTTGAGACTTCTGAAACCAAAGCAGTGTTACAATTTGGAGAAATTTCACTTGAGTACCAACTTTACAGATTTATAGGATTTCAGTTTGGCTGCTTCAAAAAGGAATGGGAGGCAAAGATACACATTTTACTTTGTAAAAACATACTTTTTGATAAAGCTCCGCTATGTCTACATAGCACATAAACTGAGAATCACGTCTACGATGTATTCTTAATTGAAACTGGAACATTTAACGTAAGAATGAGGCTGCAAATATACTAAGGGATCAATATAATGATAAGAATGATGAAAGAAACAATCCTCCTGCTCTAGAGATCTAGCATAGGGTTACACTACTCCCTCATGCTACAGTAATTTGTATGAATCTTCAGAGGATAGGGCAGGCTGGAAACTACTCAATTCCTGTATACCAATTCCTTCAGTTTAATATGTGTGAGGTTGTGCTTCTTCAGAGCCCTTTCCCAAAAACACTTTCAATACTTTAAAATGTGTATTTTGGGGGAAAAAAAAACCTTCACATTTTGAAGCACCCAGATGACATATGGAAGAGTGAGCAGGGGGGTTCCTAAATCTACAGCATTCTGCATCTCCAGGTGTTGCTACAACTGCTTAAACATTCATATCCTTGCTCAAAACGTTATACATTTCTAAAAAAGCCTTTTCAAATTTCCAGACGTTAACTTGCACAGACCTGCAGACTATCAGATGGCAGGCACAACTGCTAAGGAAAATCCTTTCTTCAGACCCTGATGTGTTGGCAGCACTCGCAGTTGTTGTGGTTCAAGACAGAGCTGTAACCATCTACGTGTGCAGCTACATATGATGCTAGACAGGCAGTCAACAGGCAAAATATACAAGATGGTAGCTTGTGAGGGATCTCAACCGATTTGTAAAGCCCATCAAACAGCATCTCAGGAAGTGAGCAGTGAGGAAAAACATGAAAGTCTTCCTACTTAAGCAGTTGCAGCAACACACTTACAGGGATTTATAGGGAAACCCTACTTTGGCCTTTAAAGAGGCCTTGAAAACGGACTTACGTTGAGTATGGATGCGTCCTGGGGGCGATGGTTCTGGGAGTGCCAGATTGAAGGACATCTGGAGGAGTCATCATGACATAGAACTGACCTGAGAACAGATGGAAAGAGGAGAAACCCTTGAGGTTCTACAACTCCTAGAGGAAGAAAAAAAAACCAAAACAGAACTTCCAGAACATTAGGTTCTACAGCAATGAATCCAGAAAGGATAGTTTTGTTTTTAATTGCATATTGCTTAGAATGGGCTAAAGCAGCACAGTCATTATCTAGGCTAGAACTGGCAACATCTCCAGCTAAGCGAACAGGGATAAGACTCCATCATAACCTCATCTGTCTTCATAAGCCCAATGGCAGCAAGGGAGGGCAATAACATAACATATTACTTAATATTAATCTAGCCAACATATATTAGATTTTGGCAGAAATGTATGATGCAGTTCTCTTTGCGCAACAGCTTAGAACTAAAAAAAAAAAATAGAGATAAATTTGTAGCCTCTTTGCCTTACGGAAAAACTATTTGGATGATACAAGCCCGAACAGTGAACTGGCTGATGGCTTAACTGACTTAATGACTGCCGTTTCTGATTTCTATATTGAAAGAGTAAATTGAGAGTTTAATGTCCTTTTGACCACAAACATGAAAGGCATGAGGTGCAGCCCGCAGAGGGAGAAGGAGCTGTTTCATGTCAAACGCTTGCCTCCAGCCTGAGCCAGCGTGGGGTCTGTGGCCTGCACCGAAACCGCCGTGGCTGTGCCGTCGCCCACCGTGGAGGCGGGGAAGTAGGCGAAGCGCGTCTCTCCGCTGACCGTGTCTGTAGCCGGGCTGCCGCCATTGCTAAAGGGGTTCTGGATCACCGCCTGGGGGGAGAGAGGCAAGGCGTCGTTTCCAAGCTCGCTGGCGACTCGACAACACTCTTCAAGTCATAACGCAGGAACGCATGCATCGGATAAACAACCAAGACTTTTTTTTACAAACCCGGTGTTTTATTTGGACTCAAATATGATGCACTGCCATCATTAAAACCGAAAGAAACAACATTAATAACACTAACAGGACTTTTTAACTACCCCATTTCCTTCTCCTTGACAAGTTTATTTATGACTCTTCATTGGTCTTGAATTCTTTATTTTTGTAGAGGTGCCTCTCTTCTTGTCCTTGTACCATCTTGCTACGAAAAATGTACATATACAAAAACAATGCTGGGCTAATTGAGAGGCCTCCTTCACTCTTATTTTATTACCATCATAGTAATTTGTTTGGTACATCAATATTATTTAATACTGTTAAGGATGCCCCATTGCATATTTCCCATTATAAAGAGAAACAGACCTATAAACTAACTACAGTTTTAGAATCAGCTGAGACTGCAATGGCTCTGTACGAAGACTAGCACACTCTATAAGCATGACAGTCCCTTGGCAGATCACAGCACCATGGTCTTGGGTGGAATAAATGTGCTTATGTAACATGAAAACCAGGACAACTCACTTGTGCGACTGCCTGCTGACCGCCTGTGAAAGCTGCAGTGGAGACCACACTGACTGCCCCCGTGGCATCTGTCTGCCCATCCAGCTGCTCATCTGTCACCTGGACAACCCTGTATGTCACCTACAGCAAGGCAGACACACAAATAAGCTCTGATCACAAACCATCACTTGGACATAGACACATCACCTCTCACACGCCCTCTCAGCAGATATTACTGTATATTATTTTGTCTTTGTTTCATAATTTGAAATCATCTTTTAATTTTATCACGTGGCAAACCAGTTAGGAACCATTAACATACAACAGCAATATAATTCACTATAATATATATATATAATACTTTCTAATAAATGGTTAAAAACCAAAACCTGCCCTGAATAATGGTCATAATGAAAAATGAGCCTTTGTAGGCTTTCAATATGTTTTGTGACATCTGTAATAAAAATACGTTGTTAAATCTAATTCTGTTTTGCATATTTCCATTTCCAAGCCTTACATTCTTACATCTTCACATTAGTTTTAAAAAGTGAACAACTCATATTAAAAATCATACATTTTGGTAAATTAACAGGCGTTAAACCGCAAACCTCAACAGAAACCCCTTTACATTAAAAGGGTGCAGGTTTATTACACCATTTTGTGTGCATCAAAATAATAATGTCAAATCTAGGCAATCCTCTTTAAGATAAAGGAACAGAACCAAAACAGCATATTTCTACAACCTGCAGGAAAATATTTTACAGCAACAAACAGCCTATAATATTAGTCTGACAGGAAAAGGTACAGTACTATTCTGAGGTAAAGACCAGAATCAGAACTGTATTATTAAATAATTACAACCACATACTCAACATGATGCAGTCCTACTACAAAGAAACACCTGATTTTAACAGAAGAATCAAATTACCTTCTGTGCAGATGACTAAAATGATACTAAACCAGTCCAAGCCATATGCCCGAAGGACTTGATAGGGCTTGAAAGAATATGACCAAAAAGAACTTTTCCTTAACAATTAGTTCAAAACTGCAATTGCTTAACTTGGCAATAATCCCCATCCCACAGTTCCTAAAAAAAGACATCCATGTGACTCTCTCCTGACTAGCATGTGACACCCCATTGCAGCCAATCACAAACCAGGACTTAATCACATGACCCAGAGCCAGATGTGTTTACTAGAAACATGTGGATGAGCTGTTGCACTCAAGTTCCTCCCCCACACCAACTAAAAAACAAAACAGCTCCACTAACTTCAACAAACATTATAAAAGACTTTCAGAGCAGGCATACCAAGAAGACAACTTCTAGGAAAAGACACTGGCCTATACTGAAGAACATCCTGTGCTCTGGCTTATGTCTTCAAAAAAGAGCTGAATGATACACAATTTTTTTAAAGCTGAATCTTGTTCTTGAAGTATGCTATACAAACTAAACCACATAAGAACATGATAAATAAAATGTTAAGACAGATAGGTTTGTGATAGGACGATTGACAAATGAAGGCAGTTCAAGTACCTTTTGCTAGTTCTCACATTATAGAGGGTGAATAAGGTTTAGATGGTCTATTTAAAAAACTCTCATGAAACCTGCACCATGGAACAATGACATTTGGGAAAAACCCAAAAGGAAAGGAAATTGAATTATTTGTACCACATGTTTGGTTACACATCATTCAGATGTGGGTTGGGGACAGGGACAGCTCTTCAGAACTAATACACACAAATGTTACAGTCAACTCGCAGCTTATACAGGTGCTAGGGATTTTGAGTAATGCAAAATTCGCGAAAAGTAAATAAGTAAAAAACCCTCATAAAAAACCTTGCTAACATCTTAAGGTAATTCAAGATTTTGAATAAAGCATAAAAACAGTAAATAAAACAATTAAGATTACTATATAGGCTCACTAACTAGCTCTTGTGGGCGTCCTTGTCAAATTTTTCAGAAAAAAAAAAATTTTCCGATCAGTCTCATTTTCCAGCGCTGACCACGTAAGATGAGAGGATGGAAGTTGTAAGTAGATTGTATTTGATGATATTTAACGAAAACTACTTCACAAAAACGAGGCTTGCTCTAATTCAATGTGCTTTGAATTGGAAGTGGAGTTTTTATTAACAATCTCCGATGATTTGTGTAAGAACAGCCGGGATGCAGTTTGTGACACCCTTGTCATGCTTTTTTGTTTTTCTGTAATCATATATGCATATGCAACCCCATTGTGTTGTTCTGAAACTAAATGTTACCGCATTAGTATTCGATGGCAAGATGTATTCTTAAGGCATAAGGGGCAGCATTATAGCCATTGAGGGAGTCTGTACTAAAAATCATTTTGTACATATAGAAATTTTAAAGCATACTAATTAATCACTACATTTCATGTTTCAAAATGTGATACAATTAAACATAAAAATTCATAAAATCCTGTGATATGCTATATTAGTAAAGGTATTTAAAGTTTCCTGAATGCCTGCATGACATTCAAGGATTTACTCTTCATTATAGTGGTAGACAGCATCCACCAGAAGAGATGGTTACCTGTCCTCCGCTGTTCTCTGTTCGGAACTGGTACTGGATGTTGTGGTCTGCGAACGCTGTAGCCTGCTGGACACTGGCTATGGCCACTGCTGCCTGCTCCTCCCCTCCAGTGCCGTCCCCTGAGAAAAGAGGCGTAACATGGGTAAAATACTCAACTTTTCCTCAAGGGCTAAAACCCAGCCAAGATATCCATTCTTGCGCTAGCTGACATTTTGAAACTCACAAAAAGAAACATTAGGCACTGGTGCTTCAACATCTGTGACATATACTATAGCTAATACGTGGTGACGTACAATGCTACTGCCCAGTTCCACGAATTACATCTTAACTGAATCAATTTAAGAGCATTTCCCAGGTCTTGAATTGATGGTAATTAAAAAAAAAACTACACATCCTGAGGGACTGCGACCTCCAGTGAGAGAGAGAGATAAAATATAGCATTATGCATTACACATGCTGCTACAACTGTCTATGGTATAACTACCAAACACCCCTTTCATAACGTAAAAGTTTGGCTTGCACAGTAGGTTCACTACACAGAGGAGGCTGCCTTACTAATGTCTTTCAAAGCCAGTGGAGAAACACTACTTTCCAGAGCTTAGTGGAACAGAAGTACCTGCAGCTGGAATCTTTGAACTTAGAGAGCAGCCTTAACTTAAAGGCCAACATAGATCACAACTTGAGAATGAAAACATTTAAGACTAAAACTCCCATCAGGATGCAAGTGACAAAAAGAACACTTACAAAAAGCTACTTATTTGAAATGTTTACCACATGATATCGGGTATATAAGGCTTTTTTTCTGTCAACTTGCTTTTAAAGGATAGGCACCATGAAGTCTGGCTCTTATGTCATCAAAACCATGCAACTGTTTTATTTAAAAATGTCACATCTTGCTCTCCACTGTTCATTTTTCTAACCTGGTCCAGATAGCCTGCCCTGATCAGGGAAATATCCAATTTTACAAAAAGCATTATATATTATATTTTAGGAAAATAAACTTTTGTTCTCTGGTTCCACAGGTGAATTCAAAGGGCATTAAATCACATTGAGATGTTTCAATAGTTTACAATCAAAGTTCTATACATACACACAGAGATACAAGCAACTTCAACAGACATTTCAACCAAAAAAATAATACAATAAAAACAGAATACAATTCAAATTTAGGGTCAAGATCTCGATAAAGAAATGAAAAAATAAAATGAGGCAACCAATTATGAATTCAATGTTTCCAACCCAAATGAAAGTAAAGTCCCCCTGAGTGCACTCAGTTCCCTAACACCCTGACGACTCTGTCCTGGACGATCCTCTTTGATGTTGAGGGGAGAGAGAGTCCTTGAAGTCCAACACAGAATGAACACTTAATTTGCTGGTATCAATTCTGAGCACTTAATTTCTATTGACTATTGCCATTTTGCTCTATTTCTCTAATTATCTAGGTAGTATACATCATCTTGTCACTAAGTGTTTGCACTTCCATTTGTTGGCTTGTGTGCTGCTTTGTGTCTTTACTCTCCTTTGTCTCAGGTTGTTGCTCAACCTCCTTTTCAGGAAGGAATCCATATGGAAGCAATAGATCTCAATAGAGAGTACACCGAGGTCCATCAATCTCTCAGGCTCTATCACATAGACAGGGCTATCTGCTACCCGCCTTACAACTCTTTGTATGGTGCGTTCTCATCTATCAGCCAACTTGTGTTTTCCTCTAAGGTTTACATTTCTCACGAGAACTCAGTCTCCTTCAACCAGTTCAGCTGCTCTGACTTATCCTTCAAATCTGATTTTTTTCTTTCCTGCCATCTTCCTTGAACAATCCACTGCCAACGCATAGCTCTCCTGGAGGCGACTGTGAAGGTTCATCATGTAATCAGAATGTGATATGTGCAATTCATCGCAAGGACCAATTCCAAAGACCAGGTCAATGAGTAACATCGATTCGTAAGAAGTCTAACCTGTTGCGTCATTTCTTGTGTAGTTATATGCTTGTATTAAAGGCTTAAAAGTCTTTCCAAAGATACTTGTCCTTCTCATCTAGTGTCACAAGCATGCTAAAAAGTGTGCTGTTGAACCACTTTACAGGGTTTCCATGTGGATGATACGGTGGTGTTCTCACGTTCTCAGCTCTAATGAGAGAACACATTTCTTTGACGGTATGTGAACCGAAGTCCTTCCCTTGGTCACTAAGCAAATGGCTATGGAAGTTGCTTGGAGTTGCCATCTGCAACTTTGTTTGATGCATTCTCATCCATCAGCCAACTTGAGTTTCCCTCTAAGGCTTAAGGCTTAAAAGTCTTTCCAAAGATACTTGTCCCTCTCATCTAGTGTCACAAGCATGCTTAAAAGTGTGCTGTTGAACCACTTTACAGGGTTTCCATGTGGATGATACGGTGGTGTTCTCACGTTCTCAGCTCTAATGAGAGAACACAATTCTTTGATGGTATGTGATTCAAAGTCTCTCCCTTGGTCACTAAGCAAATGGCTATGGAAGTTGCTTGGAGTTGCCATCTGCAACTCTTTGTATGATGCGTTCTCATCCATCAGCCAACTTGAGTTTCCCTCTAAGGCTTAAAGTCTTTCCAAAGATACTTGTCCTCATCTAGTGTCACAAGCATGCTTAAAAGTGTGCTATTGAACCACTTTACAGGGTTTCCATGCGGATGATACGGTGGTGTTCTCACGTTCTCAGCTCTAATGAGAGAACACAATTCTTTGACAGTATGCAATTCGAAGTCTTTCCCTTGGTCGCTGAGCAAACGGCTACGGAACCCACAAGGGACAATCAAGTTTTCCCCACAGTGCTTTGGCAATGGTTTTTGCCTTCTGATCCTTTGTTGGTACCGTGGCTGCAAATTTCGTTAAATGGTCAGTTAGACAAGTATTTTCCTGGAAAGGAAGGCATATTCATCTTTTTGTGTTTCAACTGCAGGCCGATGATTAAATTCTGGTACATTCTGGTTCACCTGTGTAGGTCGGATCAACACCCGTTACATACAGGCAGCTTTGGCCGTGTACATCAAAACACAGTTCACTTCAAAGGGCATTAAATCACATTGAGGTGTTTCAACAGTTTACAATCAAAGTTCCATTTACATAGACAGGTACAAGAGATTCCAACAGACACATTCAACAAAAAAAAGAATACAATAAAAACAGAATACAATTCAAATTTAGGGTCAAGATCTTGATAAGTAAATGAACGACAACAAAATAAAATAAAATGAAGCAACCAATTATGAATTCAATGTTTTCAACCCAAATGAAAGTAAAGTCCCCCTGAGTGCACTCAGTTCCCTACCACCCTGACGACTCTGTCCTGGACGATCCTCTTTGATGTTGAGGGGAGAGAGAGTCCTTTAAGTCCCACACAGAATGAACAGGAATAAAAAACAATCAGGATATCCAAAAGAAAATATAGACTGGAGGAACCGAACGTTTCAGCCGGAGGGTGTACAAAAATTTTATTTGCAACTTAGGACTTCGAAATGTGCTGGTGCCAATTGTGAGTTATTTCCATCGACTACTGCTATTTTGCTCTTTCCCAAATGAACTTTTTTCCCTTTTTGTGCACCACAGGATGCCGTCAGAAAAAACGAAATCTCCCCGCAAGACTCATTCTATCATCCTCATGTATATGTAAGACAGAGAATGTGCTGTGGACTCAGCACATTTGAACACCACTGAACATTCGTAGAATGAGCTGGGATCACGTGGCATCTAGGGCTTAGAGACCAATGAACAAGCACACACTTTTCCAGGCTCCATAAGAGAAATTGGACCAAGTATCATGAAAGAACCGTCTGCAATCAGGTGCTAAGCATGCAATGCAGAAGTAAACACTATTACTTCTATACTTCTAAACACTATTACTTTTTGTAAACCCCTGTTTATCAACCCTGATAACTGCAAATTAGCACAAAAAAATTACTTATGTCATGTCTGTTCAACACAATTTCAGTGCATGAGCTACAAAACAATCAACACCTTCATGTCAATAACCTTTGTTACTTTGATGCAGTTTCCTTTGATGCTGAGCATAGTACAAACCTGCTGAACCATGCACTTGGACTTTAACCTCAATATGCTTATACATATATTATACATCTGCTATGCGTGACAGTGGCACAACAGTTCAAAACCTGTCCAGGTAATGGAACAGCATCACTAACTTAAACTTCAATATCAAGACCATAACCCACATACCTTCCTGCAGCTGAACAACTTCCTCTGTTTCTTGTCCTTTCTCGTGACTGGAAAAAAGAAAACATTCTATTATTTGACGGTTTTTACCTTTTTTACAAAACTAGTTCAGCACACTAAAGAGATACAAAGCACGTTTATGCAGGGAACATACCCAATACCTACAAACGTTCCAGCACTTAGTGCCTGAACAGTGAAACATACAGCATAATTACATTTATAATGTCAGTTCTTTTGCATAGCAGGTAAATTGGCAAGATTTTGCTGCACTTATAAATGTTTCCTTTGGCTGCAGGATAAATTCACTGTGGAAAAACAGCCTTTTCTCTTCCTTTTTGTGCACTTGGGATTTATTTTGCCCACACAAATAGCATTCTACTACTATTAGAACTACCGTTGACTGGAAGGATGAAGTGATGGAATAAACTGGCAAAACAGTTTTTTTTTATACAAACAAGAAATGCAAAAAAGCCTCTGGTAAACCCAGGTAAGAACACAGCTTAAGGGAAGAGGAGACAATCCGTTCTCTGAATTTGATCACTGTGACTCAAACAATTAGTGGAAATGTACATAAACTGAATACAAACATTGATCACTTGAGATATGAAAAAGTATGAGATAAACAATATCTCAATACAAGCATTCCTTACACTGACACAGACACTGTATATGGAATATTAAGCTTGCTAGTGTAGTTGTTTTTCCAAGCGTGACATCCAGTATCGACAACAACAAAATCCAGAGTCCTAGGGGAGATTAGTGCCAGTGATATAATTGGGACTGATTGGCACGCAATTTTTTTTATGATCTAATGCCTGTACAATGCACAAAAACAAAATTATTATACGTAAGAATCAAGCCATCCTGGTGGAAGATACAATAACTTACACTCCCATGCAATTTTGAAGAGCAGTAGCCAAAACAGAAGATATAGATACATATCCTCACAACCCAAGCTGTGAGTTTTAAAATCCACTGGAACATAAAACATAAATCAAATACTGATCCATACAAAGGCTGCAGCACTTACTTTAACAGCTGTGTGCACATCCTCTGTGGTTCTGCTTATTATACTATGTCTTACCAAGTCATTCAACTCTGAAGTAAAAGCACCTACCTATGTAATACGAGTCACCAATGATGCCCCAGTAATCTCAATGCATGGCCAAATGTGTGCCCAGAATAGTGCCACCTACTGGTTCATCAGCACCAATTAAAGCAGCAGCAACCTGGCTTTGCTTAGAGGTCTCCCATCCCAATACTAGCTCTGCACAGCTTCTGAGATCAGGCTAAGGGTTGGGATTGACCAAGACTAAAAAGCCTGCCACTGTTACAGGTAAGGCTGCAAAAGAAGGCGGACATGTCCTAAGAAATCATTCCGTCTCTTCCCGAGTGGCCTCTCTGCCCCCTCTCCTCTCCCAGCTTGTGTTCTTCTGTGCTATTTAATCTCAGCTGTCTGCCCTGTCTTCCTCACACCTGAAGAAGGCTTCACAGCCAAAACATGTTTTCTCTCTTCTCTTTTCATCATGGAATAAACCTATTACTTGTTCCTTATGTCCTAAGAAAGGACTGCAAATTGAGGTCTCAATGCATTTCGAGTCTCTTTATAGTTCAAGCAGCAATGGCATTTCCTAAGCCAGGTACCGAATGATACCTTTCTCCGAACCATCAACTTGACTTTCAATTTCTTGATAAAAATACTGAATAAGCCCGGGTCCAACTGTATTTGCTCCACTGCACAGAAAAAGAACAGAGAGAAGAACAAGCTAAAGATCACCAAGAGATAATTTATTACAAATGAAGATGCCTGTCCAGCATGAAACACATTTCAGGTAATCTAAGAGGATAGGTATTTTAAAAACCTGCACTTAGATCTGCCAAGATTTAAAAAAGTAGATCTCAAGACGGTATTCAGGCAAGTAGGATACTAGCCAGAAATGGATTGGAAAAAATACTACCCTACTATTAACAGACATGTTTATGATGCATATTCACCATGAAACTGGACAAACTACACCCACACATTTTTCAGAACAGCTCAAGTAAGTAGCGGCCTTATTTTCTGAAGTTAGCAATTGTTCCACATACCTGCTTCGTGCGGGAACTTATCCAAAATATACCAAAAGGCATTCATTTTAGAATGACACAATGAGGCCCACAGAACCTATACAGGCAAGTTAACATCAACTGGAGGAGTGAGGCGCCCTCAAAGACAAGTCCAGTAACAAGGTAACTGCTGTCCCATTACAATGAAAGCTGTCTGATGATAAGACCTGGCAAAGCAAGCAATTTATTGTGCATGAGACTGATCCTACAGCTAAAATAAGCATCTTGAAAAGAACACTAAAGAGCCTTGGGCAGTTTTATCTAATGCACTTCAACTCCCACAAAAAAATCTAAGTGTAGACCGACACATTTTCAAACAATCCTCAGTGACATCTTTCTTTCCTCAATTTCCATCTCCTGTCCTTTTTTTGCTTTTGAATATTTGAGCTAGGCCTACATTATGCACACTTTAGCATTGTATGAAAGTCAAGAAACAACACATAAAAATAAAAGAAGAATTTGTATGCTCAAGCATACACTGTATCAGAGATTTCTGGGCAATCTTGAACACTTGGAAATCAATAGATGAAACTGGACCCATTGTCTGAAATGCATACATTACATAAAACAGATTTAATTTGCTGCAGTCAGATACAGACAGCATGTACCTCGTCATACTGTAAGAACTCACCAAGTCTCACTGTATTTTACATCTCCTTATAGTTTCCAACAAGATTTTGGACATTCGACAATCCGGAAAGAAGTATTTTATTTTTATCTAGAAAGGTAAAAGTGAGTTTTTAACTTCCTTACAAATAAGAAATGCATTACTTGGCTTCAAGGCCTAATTCCCATTTTCCCACATGCAACAAAGAATTTATCACCAACTCTTGCATAAATAAATTACTACAAACACCTTTTCTGCACACTTGCAGAGACAGCACTGCCTGGTACCACTTTCTGACCTCTGACCTCTTCTCTACAGGAACACTCATCTCGGCCAAATGCTTTACATCTCCGAAAGCAATACTTGCTGCTGTCTAGATGACAAATTGTAATGACCACCACAGGCAAATCCCTACTGGCTGTTATCAGAAACATCCACTGACTGGTTACTATTCAAAAGCGTGTCAAAATGTAATATTCACCCATCACCATGTAGGATACACAAACATCCATTTCTAGCTATTAAAATCCAGTCCTGTTTGGGTTACAAATGGCATTTTTCTAAGCACTGTAGAAACATAATCCAACGCATAATCCAAACACAGAGCACAGAAGTTAAAGGGTATTTCAGTGCTGTGAAGTTTTAGCTATGCACCACAAGAGAATCAAATATTACATCTTACTCTGAAAACACCTCGGGCACAACATCTAAACTTCACATCTTGGACTTAAGAAGCCCGTAAGACCATGCACAAAATACTGCAGACAGTGGCACACTCCTCTGTGATACAAGCTTTGTTTGTGAAAATAAACATTCAGACAGTCAGAATCATATATCACAATAAACACAAGGGAAAACATCTTGTCTGTGCAATCAGCTAAAGGAGTTATATGTGCCTGGTCTCATTTACAGTTATACAAATAGTTGTGATGCTAATTAAGGTTGTTTTAATAGTTCAAATGAGCTTTTTGATGTAATCCTTGAGAAAGATTCTTGTGATAAATGCCCAAGCTCTTTGTACGAGCAACTGGAAAAAAATGTATTCGATTATTACACATGCAGAAAATTAACAGTCTGCTTTCATTATTCCTTAGCAAGGCCACAAGCATACCATCTGAAAACTGGGAAACTGAGCAATTGTTGGGAAGGTGCTAATTTTGATATGTTGAAACAAGGAGAACTTCAGGCGATGCTTCCAAGATATTTTTGCTGCTCAGTAACAAACAGTAAAGAACTTTAGCACTAGAACATCCCTAATAAATCCACTACAGAAAAAGTGTAGTGTGGGTTTTCCCCATAATAAATGCTATCTGACTTTCAGCACTATTAATGCATTGCATTTTGTTTGCTTTATTTCTTGAGTACGTAATAATTAACGCATTTCAAACTGTTTTGGCCATAGGGTTTCAGTATTTCATGTTACACCTATATATTTATGCAAAGGCAGATTGATGAACAGGGACAAAGGGTCACCTACATTAGGACAGATTGGCTATTGATCTGGAACCCTAAGAAGGACTGGGAAAATAATTCTGTTAATACACTCTGATGTTTTCCTTTATCTTATGTAGTGCAGTGTCAAGTTTGTACGTGAAATGTTGCACAGAATCTGGGAAAGAAAGCACCAGAGCCAAGCTGACTGTAAGATTTAAACAGATCCACACAGAGCTGTAATGCAAAGGCTGTCTCAGCTGTGCTTATATCAAGCCCAACCAGAGCAGAGACACTGGGCGAAAAGAAAAACAAACTGCCCCACACATCAAACCCTTCCAGAGAGACACCTATCCATGTTAGCTCAGTTAAGCCCATATCCACAATATACAAAGAGGCTAAAGGTTTTCTAAAAACAAAATCTGAACCACTCCACACAGAGAACAAATCAAAAACATGGACAGGCAGAAGAGGGTTACCCTTCACCGAATCCTTCCAAAACCATCCATCGGTTTCCTTATGGCTTCACGCAACTCAGGGCCATCGGGGGGAAATGGAGTCTATCCCAGCAAGCAACGGGCTCAAGGCAGGGTACAGCCCAGACAGTTCCAAGTCAACATGCTTTAATATTCCCAGGGTAGGCACTTTAAGATACTGGTCCAGTGCAGGGCACACACTCACACCCGAGTCAGTTTTCCCAGACGCCAAATCAACTACCAGTATGTCTTTGGACTGTGGGAGAAAACCGGAGAGTTATGGGGAGAGCATACAAACTCCACACAGACGGCACCCCAAGTCCAGAATTCCACTCACGGCCCCTGACCTAACCACTGCACCACCATGCCACCCCCACTCCCACTCCCAAAACCGTTTTTGGGAATTTCTACCCTGTACCCCAGTCACCTATATACAGAGCGCCACAAATAACTGCCTAGAGATACTGTTCCTCTTGTCCACGACATACAGTAGAATCAGGAACACTGCCCTCCTGATATGTTGCTACTATTCCGGATTGAATAAAACAATCGAGGATTTTATAAGTCACCCAATGCATTTAACTTTTGCCTTCTTTTCCAGATACCGACTTTAAAACATTCAAGTGCATTTTAAAATAAAAAAAAGCTTAAAATGCCCAATTTGCGTTTATTTATTTTTTTGCGTTCGTTATTTGAAGAAGATAAGGCCCTTATAAACCCAGGGCATATCTGTTATATTTTGCAATATTGAAAAGGATGGTAATCCTGAAAGCCATCCTTGAAAAGCTTATTTTACAGTAA